TTGGCGCCATCTATTATCATAAGAACGTTATTGCTGTTTTCTTCGGCAACAGTACTTGTTTTTGGGATGAAAGATACCTACCATATTTTTTTTCTCATTTATAATATTAGTTAAGATTTTAATTGTAAAGGTTATGTAAAATAAAATTATGAAACTTGTATGTACATACAATACTTAATAAATACTTCTTACCTGAGTTATTATTCGCGATCCACAACAGTATGCCCACTTTTTTACACACTGCCAATAACATTTTGTATTTAAACGTCTGTCTAAAGTATACAAATATCCTTCGTGTAGCAATAGTCTTTTATTCTTTTTAGATAACAGAAATTGTAAGTGCGCCATCATCACTGACCACAAATTCCCGTAAGAAGTATTGTAAGAACGGGTAATACAGTTAATATTTTTTCCAATGTACCCTCGAAGGAAAAATATATATAATTATATAGTTGATTGACACATAATTATGACACATAATTTTTTTTCTCTATGTAGATGATTGTTCTATGAATAAAGACTGTTTACGATGACTTTTAGAGGTTTTGTTATTCGAGATCGCATGGCTACGGTGTTCAGTTTTTAGTGGTAGCGTGCATTCTTTGTTAGGTGTTTCGAACAGGTGAATTAGAGATTCAGTTATTTGAGATCGCATGGCTACGGCGTTAAGTTTTTCGAGGTAGCGTGCATTCCTTGTTAAGTGTTTCGTATGCGTAAACTTACGGGGACGTGTTATTCGGTGTTACACTTTTCGAAGTCACGTATCACACTCCATTTCCTATGCGCGCCCATCATCCATAGACTAAAAATGAGGGAACTTTTTTTTGGGTTTTTAGCGCAAATGTAATGTAACTCAACTAATTATATAAAATAAATAACTACTCTATTACTCAATTGTGAGTAAAAGTAATAAAAAAGTCAGTTTCAATATAAGTGTTATTATGAGAAAGTGTTGCATAAAAGATTTATTAATTTATTAAATGTGCTTCTTTTATTTTCCGTATAGTATCAATTGTTTAATGAATCATTATACATCCAATGAAGATGTGGTAGATGTATATTTTCTTTAATTTTATTGAACTAATTGAGGGTACATAGGTAATTGAACACATGTTTCGAGTGGTTTTTGCTTAGATTATTGATGGAAATTACTTAACTATTAACGTTTAAAATTCAATTCAATGATTACTCAAATTATTACTTAGTGATGATTTATCAACAACTATTGAGGGTTAGGTTTAAGAAACCATTAATTGATCCTCAAGGACGTCGGTAAAGGCGGTTACACGATATCATTGCCTTGCAATAATAATTGTTTTAATATATTTAAGACATGAAATCTTTGACGAGTATTGTTAAGACCGTGCAACTCAAATTATTACTGTGATTGATTGAGTGCAATAAGCAAGAAAAAGCATAATGAGGCTTCAATCTAAAATTCCTTGATCGATTTAAGCTTTCGACCCCTGTCAATATCTGTCTTGGCTTTTTTGAGGGGTTGGCTCTCTGGGTGGGATGAGAGGAAGTGTCAGAATCTTACTGACTAAAAACCACCACGTTCCTTTTCCTGCTCCCGCCTAAGGCCGCGGTGCATTATGCGCTTGACCCCGGATAACAGTCTTGGCGCAGACAAGACTTATATTAGAATAAATTATCATTAATATATTCAAGGTGACATCATACAGTAAGATGAGGATATTCGAGACATTTTCTGGACACCACTACATAAAATGTGACATGTACAGATTGGTGTATTCTTGTAGCATGTATTCAATCCAAGCTCCAAGCAAGCGATCACTCTTTAATTCAATATGTTAATAGTATTATTCGTGTCTCTGCGTGCAAATCCTCGAAACAACAGTTGGTTAATATCGCGTAGGTACAGGCTTTTGAAAAATTTTACAGGAGGTGAAAAAAATGTAATCCTTATTTCTTTAGGTACTTGACTTTTTAAAGGGTCCTTGACTGTACTTAGTAACTTTATTGACTAATATATATCTTTTTAAATATCTACCATTACTTAGTAAAGGATGTCACTTTCTATTGAAATTTTACCTTATGTTATTTAATGAATTCTCTGATTACTGATGTTTACAGTTAGTGAAAACTTATGTTTTATTCCAGACTATAATCTACAATTCTACATTTATGCTAAATTTCATTCAGCTGATTTGAATTCAGTAGTTTTATAGGATTTCTTTTTAATCTAAATACAGGTGGTATTTATTTATTCGTGTTAAACTGTTTGCAAATATAAATGATAGATTATGAATTGAGAAATAATATACGTAGTTAGCACTTCCGTGTAATCGAAGTTCGACTTTGAGACCGCATACTTAAGAGTCATGATTGACAATAACAATTATAAACTTATAAGTAGGTCTTGTAAGATACAGTTTGAATATGATACGCTCTGATAATATTGTCCTCAGCGAATTGCGCATTTGTTTTAAAATGTTCTGAGAATAAACGACATGGTGGTCGTGAATTAAATTTTAAAGATTTTTGCACAAGAACAAAAAATACATTTCGGATGAATCAGATGAACATAATATACATATTATTACAGACTAGTTTGTCTCGCGGTTTCACCAGCTGCTCTGCTCCCTTTGACAGTAGCGTGATGTGTTATAGCCTATAGCACTCAGGAATATTGTAGCTAACTATCAGTGAAAGAATTTTGGCAATCCGACCAGCGATTCCAAAGAGTACCTCCTACATACAAACTTACAAGTTTTACCTCTTTATAATATTGGTATAGATATCTCCAATTTGGTATAGGCAATTAGGCATTTAGGAGTTGTAAGGGTACCTATATAAGTATACGCGCTTATATGTGATTTGTTTATGTATTTTTATTACACCATCTTACTTCCTCAATTTTTATAATGAGTTTGTTTTCTGGTCATCCTAACTTACTCTCCAAAATTATTAGAATTGTGCCCAACTTTGAAAATTCACGAAAGTGTTGCCTGCCTAGATCTGCTCCCAACGGGGGAATGTACAGTCAGCTCCAAAAGTCGATGAACAGAATCAACTTACCAAAACACCTGTTCACAATAAAACGCCATAAGTTATAGTCGCAACTAGAGAACAAAATAGCCTGTATACCAGAAATTTACAAAAGTCGTTACACACGACTATTTCAAAAGTATCTGTGCACTAGTATTCCTAAAGTCGCTGTACACCTTCAATCCAAATGTCGCTGAACATCATTGTATCAAAAGTCACTAAACAGCAGTAAAGACAAAATTAGGTTAACAAAGTATATTTTTAATGTTGCCCCGTGTTAATATACTTTTGACGCTTATGTTGTTCAGCTACTTTTGGAACAGTGTTTGCTAGACCTTAATAATGTATGTTAACACGTTAGTATCTGCATATTTCAAAGCTTATTTACAAATAAATTATATTTTATTGTCAGTAATCATACTAATCTATAATTTATGAAATAACATAAACATAACTCTAATGATCTACGAAGTGATTTTTGTGACGGTACTTGTAATTTACTTTGCGCAAATCTTACAAAACCTACCTTCCTTTAATTTATTATTTTTACCCGACTACGGCAATGCTAAAATTTAAAGAATTCGACATATGACATATCATTAGAAACGTCCTTTTTGTTTTTGTCCGCTGGTTATAAGTTATATGATGTATTACAAAATTTAATGCGGCGACCTCTAGCGGACAAAACAACCAGAGTAAAAAAATGAAGTTAAGATAATTATACCGTGTTTGGTATCATTTTAAAGCGCTTTACTTGTACATTTTGAATATATATGTATTACTAGCATTTTTTGGTGACTTTGCTTGTATTCATGTGCTGATTGCATATAATTCACATATTTTCGTTCATACCTTTTACTACTTTATATTAGTTCATTCTTTTGTTTATATTATGCGACACAAATACACTTTAACGCCAAAATAGTACAAATAATAAAAAGTATAAAAACTAAAACCCAACTACGACAAACACCGACGCTGAAAAACGCTGTTTTCTTTCTTATCTTGTTCGGAGGAAACGTTCGGGTGTCACCTAGCACAGATCGCCCAGAGGACACGGTAGAATATACGGTGGAAGTGTGCCCCGCTTGGGCAGGAATACAGTATTTAAATAAAATAACTGTTGCTATAATCACTCTTCTTACAACTCTTGATATTACAATCACAACAATTACAATTTAACTAAGGATAATTAAGATTAGGTTGAATTTGAACTTAACGTCCACCGAACACGTGGCCGCGTGCATATTCTACGAAGGTCCAACACTAATTGTCCTGTTTTACAAGAAGGCCGCCTCACCAGAGCTCGGTGTTCGCTATGGACTTGAAATAATTATGACAGTTGACAGTGAAGTTTGACATCGACGTATAACAAAGAGGTTTTACATGCACTGATGGCCAGTGCGCCGACATATACTTTGTTAACCTAATTTTGTCTTTACCGCTGTTTAGTGACTTTTGATACAATGATGTTCAGCGACATTCGGATTGAAGGTGTACAGCGACTTTAGGAATACTATAGTGCACAGATACTTTTGAAATAGTCGTGTGTAACGACTTTTGTAAATTTCTGGTATACAGGCTATTTTGTTTCCTAGTTGCGACTATAACTTATGGCGTTTTATTGTGAACAGGTGTTTTGGTAAGTTGATTCTGTTCATCGACTTTTGGAGCTGACTGTACAAACTAAATCAGACAATGTAATTTCTAACTGGTCACATTTTTTGAGTTTTAGCATTTAAATGCTATTTCGTCACGTATATTTAAATGCAGATTTTCAAGTACCAAATAGTTTTTTTAATATCAAAATATTGTACCAACTTATCATAACATCCCGTTTTAATCTCTGGAGAAATAGACGATAGTACGTATTCACTTGTTTAGTTATGGTGGAAAAAATATTTGAATAGTTTTTTGGACATTTCAAAAACGCATGTAAGGGTTGTTGGTTCAAAATGTTGTTGAACTTGGATTTGTTTAAATTGCAGAGCTTTAATGCGTATGGATGGAGAGGATGTGTACGGACGGAAGATTAGTACGCGGTACGCTCGCAGCGCTGTGCCGCCGGCGTATTCCAGTGATGAGGGGTACAGCACTGCGCCAGCTTCCTACCAGGCACCCGCCTTTGTTCCACCACCTGCCAAGGTTTGTACAATTATATCTTTTTAGAAGGTCTATATAGCTTTGATATCGGTGTATTCAGTACAAAATGAACAAGTACTCGAAGTCAAACTTAATGAAATGTCTTTATGATATTACTCAGATGTATTTAAGCTACCTACACTAGGTTTACAGATAGCATGACGTGTACTGTCCCGTATAATAAATTGAAATAAATTAAAAGAAATAGTCTACAATGTTATTATTGTACCTACATTGCGTTTTATTACAGATTGTGGATACATTTCACACTCCACAACGTGTAAATAAATGTTATACTATTAAAATTTCTATATATATTTCTCACTTACTATGTAAATGTCTATAGAATAATTATTGAAGTACTTTTGTTAATCCAAAAGAAAACACGTCAAATACGTTTGAGTGCTTGGCGTGGCGTGAGTTTATATCGTCTTATGTTTTTTTATTGAAATGTTTCTAGGTATGCTCATCGCCTCAAGAGATGGCCTCGTTCAATACTCCTTGCATCTCGAAGGAGTGGGCTATGGCTCTGAAACAACTGCCGGCGCCTACGCCCCCGCCCCATGATTTCTGTCCCCCACCTGCACCCAAACCTAGGAAGATTAGGGGCACGCATGGTAAGCCTTTTTATTTATCCTTTTTAAATAATATAGTGATTTTCAACTAGTCAAATTCAATACTTTTAATAAAATCTTAGAATATTGTTTTTGATTTCCTCTTTACTATGAATTTTTCATGTAATCGCTACTTATAATGTTTTTAGACAAAAAGCATACTTAGATAGATTGATGAAAAAAAACATTCTTATTTGTAAAGAAATAGTGAGAAAAAACTAAAATTATATATATCGCCAAACAAGTACTGGTAAGTCGTAATTATTTTTTTGGTTGACCTAGGAAACTACCCATTTGGTTAGTCTACTAACAATCATAGTAATTTCAGATTAAGCAAAGAAATAAAGGATTTATGATTATTAGCACATTTCTTAGGTTATCGGAATGAAATCGTTGCTAAGGAATACTTTGAAGAAATCATTGAATGCCTCTGTCTATTTTAAGTCTAAACACCTTGGAACCACGTAGGCACTTAGTCTTTTGACCTTCGACTTTTAACACCAATAACACCTTGAATTTTTTCTTTATTGTAGTTCTGTTTTCAATTAGACTTCAATCAACATTTTTCTTTTTTAATTATACTGTTGACTTTAAATTTCTTTAGTGTCGTGTTGTTATGTTAAATCCTTTTACATATAGGATATTTTTTTTTAAGTTTTGTTCTGTATACATCTTTTCCTATTACATTTCCTGATAAAATACTTTTTGACTCCACCCTTCAATCAGCATTTTTTCCTTTTAAATTATTTATCGACTTAAGATTTCTGTGATCTTATAGTAATATTAAATCACATAAGTACATATTAAAAATATATATTTGTTATAAATTTTATTCTATCATGATAAAATACTTATTAACAGGTTCGGTAAATTTGGACCAGTCGGGCTGTTCGTCAAGTAATAGTGGCGAGGGTCGCAATGGAGACAATAGTGCTAGCAGGGCGGTCTCTCCATGGAACTCTTCAGCTAGTTTCAGCGAGCACAGCGAGTCTGAGGAGTCCACTGCTGAACTAACCGTTTCTAACTTACCACCTTATGATGCTACAATTTTACAGGTAAGATGTTGTTTTTAGCAATTTAAGTTAATCTAAATTTACTTGCTTTTTGTCGTTTAATTCACTTTATCTGATCGTTTGTCGCATATTGTAATTTATTTTTGCCATTACTTTAGTTAAGTTTATGTACAGAATTGTGTTGGAATTGGGATCATATTGTCTTTGACAATAACAAGTACCCGAAGTTTAAATTTGAGCAGTTCCTATCTATTGTATATATTCTATCAAATTAATTAATGAAAATTATATCGCTTTTGTTTTGTTTAGGAGATGCTGACTCAGCTGTTCAACTTATACGTACAAACCGTCCGAGTAACTGTCTGGGCAGCTGGGGAGGGTCCCTTAGCGACTGTAGTACTTCGATCGGAATGGGATGCAAGGCTTGCCATCGCACGCATCCACAAACGTCGTCTAGACAACCAATGGACGGGGCGTCGCCTAGAACTGTCTCTAGGCAAGCCATCCCCGGCTCCCAATCTAGACGTCCTAAGAGCTAGACTTCGAGCCATATTACTAGATCAAAAGAACCATACGCTACCTCTTTTGAGATTAAGGGATGCTTACGCCAGTCGTCACTGTTGTGCGTTGACGACGTCAGATATAGCAAAGCTCAAAGACACAGTTGTTATTCATGAAGGGTTTGGTAGAATGGTTCAGTTGGTGGATTTAACGCCGGTGTCTAGTTCAGAGATGGAGGAGGCGCCCTGGAAGTGCCATATACACGCGTCCATGAGCACCGGACAAGAGGACGGCAGCCGCATTTTACAACCTGTCTATATGGAGATCTCAACTTTAGCTAAGAATGTACATATTTTGTTGGAGAGTCATGGAGGAATTTTACCATTGTTAAGGTAAGTTCAATCTACATACGATTGTATACTTTTTTATTAAGATTCTCAAATTAACTTTTCAGGGTAACAACTAGGATCTGGTTCTTCCTTCAACTACAGGAAAGAAGTCGTCAAAAACTTCGATTTTACGAAAGCAGAAAGATAACTTATTCAATTTAAATGTGATTTTGACATTACGGATTTTGGCATTACCTTGCATCGGATAACCTGATGGTAGGCAATCCAGGCTGTCCATGAATGCTCACTACCGAAATACGAATACTTGGAACTCCCAAATGCAATGTTTTGCTCTGCCCTCATTAGAGATTGGGCCTTCAATAACCCCACTCTAATTTGCATTTATGTGTTACTGATGTAGTAAACGTGTTACAGTTTCGTGGAGTGCTACGAGTCTCGGTTTGACGCGTTGGTCTGCGACCCGCGTCATGGAGTAGCGCTGGAACTGCTTCTCCGCAGTGTAGAGGGACTGGACGTGCGTGACGCGCCCTCACGACACCTCACTTGGAAGGCCAGGCCTCTTGCACTCACTCCGCCGTTACCTCAGGCTGCTAACAGTTAGTATCAGACTTCTTGGTGCGAGTTTTCTTTACGTTACGTCGTGTAGCATTCTGATTGGTTGATTACTTTGGAGCTGGCCAATCAGAGCGCCGAATGTCATAAACGTGTCAACCGCTTTAAAGTGAAGCAAACTGGCACTAGATTCTGTACCTATTCATAATTTATTACCAATATACTTTTCTCATATTTTATAAAGACAAATCGTTATCGTTAGAAATAACGGAACAGATTTTAGTACTAGATATTTTTATTGTTCTTTCTTACGAGATACGCCGAGATAGTTGTTTACCTGATGGTAAGCAACCGGTGCCGCCAATGTACACCCGCAACACAAAAAGAGTTGCAAGTGCGTTACCCACCTTTTGGAAATAAGGGGTTTTGGGAAAAGCGGGGGAGATAGAGGAAGGGAAGGATTGGTCCTCTGAGAATATCATTCACACGTCGAAACATACCTCTATGGTGGTTTTACGCCGACTTTGTGAGGATATGGTATTGCTCCGGTCGAGCCGGCCATTCGTCTCGAAGCATGGCTCTCCCAGCACTTAAACTTTATCTTATTTCCTTGTTCATAATAAAAGTCTTTTTTTGCAGGCGAGAGCTCCCGTTCAAGTGGAGAACGCGAGCGGCCCCGCACTGCGCCTGCCCTCGAACCAATGCTAGCTTTGTTCGAAAGAGAACTCATTGACTTACTACGCACGGCGCCTAGATGCTCCATTCCATTCAGCAAGTCAGTAATCAAACGTATTTATTTATATATTTAGCTGTAGTTATAATCTTATAATATTTTTTATGTGATATGACGGTAAACGAGCAGACGGATTATCTGATAGTAAGCAATCAGTGCCGCCCATGGACACCCGCAACAACGGAAGACTTATGAGTGCTTTGCTTCACTCGCATGGCGAAACACAATGCTGTAGTTGTTTCACGCCGGTTGTTCATGAGGCCGTGGTATCACTTCGGTCGAGCCGACCCATTCGTAAAGAAGCTTGGCTCTTCCACTCTTTTCAATCATGGTAGCTTTCATCAATTAGTAAGTTTATTATTGTTAATCAGGCTTAACTTTCCCAGGCTAATACCAGCGTTCCACCACCATTTCGGTCGCCAATGCCGCGTGGCCGACTACGGCTTTACCAAACTGCCAGACCTACTTGCTGCACTCGGAAACGCTATCGTGGTAAGTCACGCAAACTAAATTTCTTGTTGTTCCATTAATTATTTCAGCGTTTCGAGGTTTTGTCAATTAATCCATAAATTTCAGGTTCTTGGATCAGGTTCATCTCGTATTATAACAATATCGGCGGCGGCCCAAAGCCGTCGTTGGACGTCGGATCTGGTGAAGGTGTTGAAAGGGCAACCGGGCCGAGCAGTACAGCTGCACGAACTCCCACAACTGTACCACGCGGTCACTGGCCGCCCCTTCTCGCCCGTGGACTACGGCGTCTGTACCATCGCGGAGCTGATGCAGCGAGTCAACCCTCAGGCGGTCACCGTTGCCGCGGACGGTACCATCTCCCTGCCGCGCCGCTTGCCCACTCCGGAAGAAAGGGCTCGCACACGAGAGTTCGCCATGCAGGTAACAACTTGTCATCATCTCATCATACATCATCATCTGATCATTATTTTTGATATCATCACGCGTCAATAGAGTTATTGCCAAATACTAGTTATGGTTGGTGGATTGATGATTGCAGTGTGGATCATTGTATTTATTACGTTACTAGTAGGTACTTTTTATAACCGGATGAAAAGCGACGAAAATATTTATAATTTAGTTTATTCGGGTGGAAGGTATGATTATTATTATGGTATTATGGGTGTTAGTAAAATCGGGAGTTTTGGCGAATATGCTCGTGGTTTTGATAAGTGCAGTGAAGTATTTATCGAGGCGACGCGTATATTCGGCAAGCCCCGTGAGATGGGTACCGGAGTAGCGTACGTTGCACCAGGCGGTGGAACTGTTGCGGCACACGGCCAACTTGCGCATGGAGTTCTCGCGCTTCGTGCCCGCGTACCACGCGCACTTCGGCAGGCAGCTCCGCGTCGCGCACTACGGCTGCGTCAAGCTGCTCGAGCTGTTCGAGCTCATCCCCGAGGCGGTCGCCGTCAGCGGCGCGGGCGCGGCCGAGCGCAGCGTGCGCCTGCGCGGCGGCGTGGCGCGCGCGCTACTGGCGCGGCGGCTGCGCGCGCTGCCCGCGCTGCCGCTGCGCGACCTGCCGCTGCACTACGCGCACCACTACGGCGCGCCGCCGCAGGTACCACACCCACTGCCCACACGCAACAGATCCAACAACACACGACCAACTATCTCACGATTCTTACCGTACTACTGCTAGGAGTGTTTGGCAAATTATGTTCATGTAGATATCATTTCATCTCATCATCTTACTTATTTTCACCAACCTACAGTATATACTTTACCGATGTATAGTAACAATGTCGCATGTATCAACTTTCACACAATCATAATTGCAGCCGGACATGCTGGAGGCTGATACTCTAGAAGGCTTGGTGTACGCCGCGGGCGGCTGTATAGAGAACAACGTAGTAGTGGCCCCTGGAGGGTCACCTGCGTGGGCGGGATGCTTGCTGACGGCGTGCGCGGTACTGTGCGGGGACCGTAGTGTGGCGCGGGGCTCCACGCTGGAGTACTTCACGGCGGCCTACCGCCGCCTTCGGGGGGCGGAGCCCGAGCTGAGGCGCCTCATAGCGGCTGGCGTCATCACTCTCAGCGAGCAGCGCCTCAACGTGTCGCCCGAGTGGCGCGTCGTGTGGCGTCTCGCTCAGTTACTCACGGACCGCGCCACGCCAGCCTCGCCCGAAGAAATATTCATAGAATTTGCTCGTCGATATGAACCTGTCTTCCCCGGAGTTGATCCTAGTGAGTGAAACCGATGATTGTTTAGCGAATTTCGCCATTGAATACTTTTTATATCTGTCACTAACACATAACAAATGCATTTGCCAGGTGCTGAGGGCGTGGCAGATTTCCTTCGTCATTACATGGAGATATTCACGGAAACCGAGACCGGTCGCTGGACTTTATGCCCCGGTGTCGTAGTGCCGCGATGTCGTGAACTCATACCAGGCCCTGCGCACGAGGATTACTCCGTTCATGATACACCACCGGGACAGAAAGTAAGAGAAATCACAATATTGTATGTTTGTCGTAGATGTTTCTAGTATTTAGGGTCGTAATAATCAATATATTTTCCAGGGTTCCCGTGTGTTTGAATCACCAAAGAACAACATATGGTGCTCCCCACCTGCCAGCGCGTTGCCCACTCCTACTGCTTTTCTTAACCTCGAGAACAGACGTAAGAATTATTATTTTAATACATATTTATGTAGCGGCCAGTGAGCATCATTCCTTTTTTCATCCATGAAGTATACCATATGCACACACAGCGGTGCGTAAGACATTTGCACCCGCTGTGCCATATGCTCCGATGTCGGAACATCAGTGAAATGTCTGACTTCACGTTCAAATCTATTACTTTTTGTTATCACTACTGAGTATCACTAATTACATATTTTGTCTCCTTAGGTCGTATTCGTTTGGCGGCTCACTTCGAAGGTCCATAATCCCACCGCGTCGTATTTGAAGATGCATTCCTTATTTTTGATGTAGGTTAGTATTATACGTGTTCCAAACGCGGCACCTGAAACTTTGGAGTGATGTGCATCAGGGTCGCAACGAATTTTAACTACTAGACTTATGTAAGTGTCCAATAAATTGTGATGTCTGTAACAATAATATTTTAGATGTTTATATTTTTATGTGTTTATTTAGTATAAGAAATCTTATGGTGCATTCGTCAAATGTTTTAAGTGCCGATGTAAAACTAATGTTCCCTGTCTATGTACAAAGAGGTAAGTCTTAAGAATCATCTTGACCGAAGTCTTTTTTTACTGTATCTTAGTGTGTAAATTATAATGTTTTGTTTTAATTGACTAACTTATATTTCATGTATCCAATGAGTCAGTTTCGCGATGTTTTGTTTCTCGGCTTGTTCTACAATGTCTCATTAAGTTGCTGTTAGCTAAACTGACACATATTTTGACTCCTTTTGTTACGGGAAAACAGATCAAATTATGTGTCAGTCAAGATTAACGGTTTTACACGTAATTAGATGTTGTATGATGGACCCCCTAGTCTTTCAAAGTTACTTGTTGAACTATTACATAGAATTGTTTAGACCTTACAACAGTGTAACTGCGTAACTCTATTCAATTTTATCATGTTTTATTTTATATTTTGACATTTTATATACAGATATTTTTTTTCTTATATTTTATATTTTGTGGCTCTTCACGTAACAAAGGACTGAACAAGCTTCAAATGATACTTTAAGGTACTAATAAGTTTATGAAAGATCTTACAGTATGTTATCTACGTAATGATTTGTAAGTAGATAATGTTACTGCCATTGATACGAATAAAACAATAATAAACACTAAATGTACATATCATTGATTTGAGGCTCAAAATATGTTAAGAATAGTTGCTAAGTTTTATTGAATAAACATCTCGAGCACTTGTAACATTTTTCGGATGCCCACGAAAAGTACAATGATCATTAATACATGTTGATTGTCCTAGAATTTTATCGTTTAATATATTTCAGCCACAAATCTATTTGCATGTATTTTGCTTGTATTATTTCGAAATTACTCTTCAAATTATTGTACAGACCTATATCTTTTCTCATTGTGTAGGTGTATCACATTCGAATTTATGTAATTTTAGATAACATTTACATTCATGTTAAGTTCTACGTTCTACGGTGGTTTATGTAATTGAATACGCCAGTTGTTTGTTGAATCTCAATTTTGCGAACTGGCCTTAAATGACGTCAATTAAAAACGTTCAAAGGTTTTATAAGAGTATTCAATGAATGTAGATGTAGGTGATATTATTGCTTTGATACAATATGCTCGTGCCTAAAGTGCGATGATGCTTTAATTTTATGACAATCGTTTGTGTTTTTCTTTAATTAAATCTCCTAGTTCCACATAGTTCCCCAAGAAAGACGTTGATTTAAGTTCCATTTGCTCTCGTTACAATACATGTGATTATTGTATTTTGTAACAAAATGTTATTGGCTTCTAAATCACGCACAGTAAGCTCGTAACTCCTGATTATGGAAGCTACTTATAATTTGTACCAAAGCACTAGTTAGATAATACTTATTCGGCCAAATTATCCTGTACGTACTATTAAACATTATGATAATGTGCACTTATTATATCAAATTGGTCGTAAGTTTGTACAGAACCATTTTTGTAAATGGGAATTAATTCCTCTAGTCTTTCAAGCAATGTTTCATGGGTTTAATTTTATTGTACCTTTTATTTTTATGATTTTTTTATTTCTAAAATAATTCTATTCAAGAGGTTCGTCTGTCTAACATATGTTTTAAACGACAGCAACCTGCAATAAGCCATAGTAATAATTTATTTAGTTAATAATATAATTTGAAGTTAAATAAGTATTAACAGATTTATTTAAATTAATATTGGAAGTGATGAGCTAATGATTAATAATATTGTAAATAATAGACTTGAGATTTAGTCTGTATTCTAAGGCATTAATTACCGCTGTGATACTTCTGTACCATTGAATGCCATACTTGGTTTCAACTCGATTTGAAAAGCGATCACAAATATTTTCTAGTATGAGCAAGTTGTTTGTAATCATAAAAGTCGACGGTATATTTTCGTAGGTATGTATATAGTGTACATAATATTACAATTTGATTATTAAATTGGTACAAAGTATGAACATTTTAGTAATAAAATATTATACTCTCGATGATGTGGAACTACGATATTTAATTGCGAAATTATTTACAGATAATTTTGTTTTATATTTTTATGTAAGCGGGTTCTTGCATATTTGAAGTATATTTTTTCAATGCAATTAATTTTACATTTGTTACCTGCCAGTCCGCATTTGTACATCAGTATTGGCCAACAGATCATCTATTGAATCAAAATATTTTAAATAAGGTTTCTATCTAATAATTTTATGACCATTGTGATTGTCACGTAAGTTCTGATTGTGACTGCGTTCACATAGGGCCAGAGTACTGTCCAGCGTTTCATAAATGTTACTTAAGATTGAGGCCGGCACAGACTGACGTCGGGCCACGACTTGGTATACAGTCCTAACCACATATATTTTGTTTGTGCCTACATCTTGTTATCCACAAATGATGTATTAAGATGTTTTCCCTTACTTATGCACTCGTATTAGTTTCTTCATCTTCAGCAATCTATTAATTTTTATTACAAAACCAACTTGGGATCCGCGCATAGCAAAACCAGTTGAATAACGAGTGGCTGGGTTTTCACATGCCGCGTCATACCAAAGTATCCTTTGATCTCCTGAACCACGCCATGTTGTTCCCCGCAGTCAGTCTGCGCCGGTCTTTATAAAATTAATTACCAAGTTCTCTAAGACTGTAGTGAAGATACATTTAAGTACTTTATAAGCTGTTGTTTTATTTTCTGACCAATAACTATGTATTTTGTAACACTAAGGTAGAATTAAGTATGCATTCAAAGTTCATTACAGGAAGATGTAACATTTCATAAAAGTTTTCCTACATCTTCGTAATTCTGTGATTATTTGTTATAGTTTTAACTAGTGAATCGATGTATTTGAATTAGTCGTTTCAGTATTGCATGTATGATGAATGTGTCGGAAAATAAATGTTATTTTTTCAATAATTTATCGTATCTTTCATTTATTATTTTGATTAAATTATTTGCTATATTTTTAGGTGATTCAAGTCACCTCCTGCTTTGATTGTTTGCTTGTAGTACCTTGAGCTTGTCACCTCAATGTAGTTTTATTAATTGCTATTCCAGTAAATACTTTGTTTACGATTGATAAATTATGCAATGTTTGTATAGCTATTAAGTTTAAGTAACAGCACAAATGCACAATTTCGTCCACAGCAGCAATTTTTGAAAAATAAATAAATAATACTACCATATGCTATAATTTACATTGTTTATTTAAACACCAGAACCTACTTAGTATTACACGAATTGCAATTTGAGAGTTAACATGTCAGGTCAGACAGGGGTCCGTGACGTCTTTCCCAGACCATGCGATGCTTCTGCTTCATGTATGCTTTACGAGCATCAGCATACGCACCAAGATCACCATCTGAAATACAACAACCAGATCATTGTAATACAGCATAACCGGGATCCTATTAATCCTATGTGCTGTACTGGTTTCTAAACATTTTGGGTGGTGTGGGACATAAAAATGGCGCCCTTGTAAATAATAAGCTTCGAATCGATCTTTTTCTCATGTTTTGGTAAGTATTGGCACCTTTAGACTGCCTGTGGCCCATAGTTCGCACTGACCTAAGGGCTGAACCTGCTTATGTAGTTTCCTTTCTAATAACAACAGATAATTAAAATAGGTAACACAGTTATTTCAGAAGTTCATTAAAAAAACTGTAAAAGTAATAATATGGAACTTGATTACCATTCATCATCATCAGCTTATAAGTGCCCCCTGCTGAGCTAAGGCTTCTTCTTACATGGAGAAGGTTTAGGCAATAATCACCACATATGCTCAAGGCAGATTACTTATCAATTTCAAATTTATGATTTGAAATTATTATTTGCCATTATTACTATTTTGCTCCACCATATGTCAGTGGTGTCTAAATTATCATAGAACATATAACTTGGAATACCACAATAAGTCACATTGGTCCTAGCCAGGTTTCGAAACTGACCCTCATGCATGAAGAGTGTGTGCCTTAACCTAAGGGCCACCATGGAACTTATAACTAAATATAATAAATACTTATAATATGGATACCAAAGAATAGACACTGTTTTAATCCTTTACATGTATAGGTAAGAAAAAAAGACAAACTACCCTTTTCCATTCATTATTCTAATAAAGTTAAGCTAATATTTATAATGCCATATACAATGGGAGATAGAAGAGAAATATTTTGTTAAAGGAGAAGTATGTCATAGGCTAAGGAGTTTTTTTTCATACTAGAAACACAAAACATGTATTGTATCATTAGAGATTTTGCCATAAAAGATTAAAATCTTACATTTGATAAACCAGGCCTCTTCAGATTCCTTGTACTTGTCCCAAAGAGGTTTGCAAGCCTTAGCATGGTCAGGGCGTTCATAGACCATGCAGTCCTCATAACGTTGACGCAGAATTCCTAGGATCTCAGAATCTACAGCCCTGTAAAAAAGAAAAATAACTTAATACTTATAAAATTAAACATATCACATCAATTTTAAGGTTCAAATTATATAGAAAATTATTATTAAAGATTTGACTACTTGTCTCAATTGAAAACAGCAATGAGTGATGTTTATTTAAAGAGCTTGTAATTGTAAGTAGGGTTCTGTTATACACAATAAGAATAAAAAAATAATAAACTATGACCTTTTATACAGGGCCAGTAAATAAATTAATACTCAAGTAATTGACCCGAATAATGTTTTTTACAAAGCTGCATCATCAATTTTTGTTGGACATTAACATGTCTAAAAGAAGATAAAAATGATAGGAATCTTTAAAGATCTATCTATAAAGAACAGTTGCAAATCACTAGTGTCTAGTAAGAGGTATGGTATAGCAAAGAAAGTAGTATTAATGTGCGAAGAGTATAAAACTTGGTTAACCTATCACGTTTGAACTGTGCGTTCGCCTCAAAATCGCAAATCACATCATCATCGTAGCATTGGTCGATGGTTGGCACACGACGGAACTTCTGGTGGTACCATGGATACTTCTTCTGGTTCGGCTCAACAATCTTCTCTGAAGAATAATAACACCATTATTTGTATCACACTTACATAACAATCAATGTTGTAAACTTGATAGATTTTTACCTCGGAAATAAGTTACGGGTCCATCGATTGTATTGTAAAGAGCTTTAATAAATCCTCTATAAACATTTGTATCTTTTACAACTTCGTCGTCGTTTGACATTATTCAATTTCTATAAAATTAAACTCGAGTTTTCGTGATGTGAATTTACGACGAAAAATCGTAAGAGATCGCCAGTATGACAGATGACATTTGACTTTGACATCAGTTGACAGATATTAGAGCAGTTCTTCATTGACTTACTATTTATAACAATAATTTGGGACCCATCTGGGTGTGGCGTGTTCCGATGTTCATAAAAACACATGGCCTCGGACTTGTGGAGCGCCACCTCGAGCCCTGTGAAACACCGCGCGACATCTCTCGCCGGATCCACGTGCCCCAGTGACCGGGGTAGATGACGGATCTGTCGGTCTTCATTTTGCTTTTGATCTGATGAATCCAGTAATAGTAGTAGTAGTAGTAGATACTACTTGTAATAATAACTCAAAGATTGTGCATTAAGTAAGTAATACGAATTGTAAATTTTTGAAACAATAAACTATTTTAATTTTTTATCCATGGAAGACCTGAACACCATTATCAATACCGTTTCCTATCAGGTGGGTCTTAAGATAATCAAGGAAAAGACGAAAATAATGTCATATTATGTAGATAATCCAGCTAGATAGATCCAACTTCGCAAAAGAGGGAGCTCTAAAAATGGGAAGCGCCCGGGACGTCACGCGACATCTCCTCTTTAAAAAATTCCCGCAGTGCCTTAAAACCAGGATTGTACAACCAGTGTGTGTTGCCAGTGATGACATACATAGTTACGGTACTTGGGCGACGTGCTGCTATGTAACGCGATCGAAATAAAATTGCAAGATTGTTTAAGCCATTTGTGGATGTCTAGGATGAGCTTTCTACTGAATGGCAGTGTAGTCTCTGGGATGGGAATCTTCTATCAAGGGCCGCCATGCACCTTTATCAGTTTTTTCCATCCGTACAAGAACGGCCGGGGAACACATGGTTAGAGGTGAATCATTTTGTAGCCCAGATTCTCACGGGTCATGCTAAGGAAGGCAATACGAGCAGTACGAGCAATACGAGCAGTGTAGTCTCTGGCAATACGCATGTAACATTGTGTTGGATAATTTGTTGGAATTTTGTTTGTGTTGGATAAGATGTTCATCAGGAATATACGGACCTTGTGAAATGTAGAACAAACTTCCGTGCGTTTAGACGTTTTTTCATACCTATTACTGAAAACAACTAAGTAGGTATAGCAGATCACACATAGGCGCGCCTCAAAGAGACAATAGACCACCACTGACGGGGTCCTAAAGGGCTGATGTTCAGCCGGGGTTGCGGAGTAAGCGCAATGAGGCACCGCGACCTCGGCCCAGAGCAGGAGAAGGAACAGGAGGGTTTTTAGTCAGTAAGAGTCTGACACTCCCTCCCGCCCGGCCCTGGGCGGGAGAAGTCATTTGATGATTTTCCCCTCAAAAAATAAATAAATAATAAAACATAGGTGCCTTTAAGGCTTAAGACAGTCATTCATGTCTCTGAGACGCGCCGGAATTCAGTGTTCCGATGTTTTCATGGTTGTATCTGGAGATCCTGTCTGATCTGTAGATTCTGGATTACCTACAGGAGTTGCTACGGTTTTTTAGAGGTTGGGGCGAGCTTGTTTCATAAAAAAATACAACCGGTACAGAGACATAGTCTCTCACTTCTGGTCTGTTAGAAAGACTGAAAGTCGCCCAGGGAGCGATGGAGTGAGTCCCATGCGTGAAGTTTGTTTGGAACGCGTAACAAATCCTCAATTTGGAAACTCGCCAAAGAACCAGCGTCATCGACATAGATGTTAAAATCTACAACTTGAAGTGGGAATGGGCAGACTACATCGCTTAAAGGACACACGGCTGAGGGGTCAGCCATGTGCTCGAGTGGCGACGTAGCGTAAGCCGATGATCTCGTTAATAATCGCGGGCCTGCGTTCGACGTGGAGAACTAAGGGGGAGGCCACTGTCCAGCTGTGGACGTCTTACAGCTGATGATGATAATATTTTCATTGGTATAACGCTAGCGGAAAAAACTGAGGCGCCCGATATATATTATAGTGTACATATAGGTAGTGCACCCATTTTTATATTGAAATATTACCAACGCAAGATGGTCCATAAGCTGCATGAAAACGGCGTACGACGTCTATATATTTTTTTATCTGAACGAAGAACAGCTCTAGTGTCCGTCAATTAATTTATTGTCAAAATCAAATTATAATACATAAAAAATAACGCGCTTTTTCGTCGTAAATTCACTTAATACACATTAACTCAAGGCTTCTCATCTCTCTCTCTCTCTCTTCTCTCAAGAAACGGTTTTTCCTCCTCTAACTTCCACCCAGGGTGGAATAAGTCACTGGATGAATTTCGCTCTTCTTAAAAGGTATGTAAGGAAAAATGCTTTAAACAACTTTTAACAACTAAAAATGTATCTATTATGTTTTCGGCTTACTCACGTAATAATTCCTCCGCTGTCTTGCGGAATGCTGCTCATGAATATGGGCCTCTAGCATGGCTTGAAACTAGTCGAGTATCTCGTCAAATTATTACGTGAGTAAGCCGAAAACATAATAATTGATTTAGAATGTCTCACGAGAAATATATACAAGTGTGGGAGAGCCAAGCTTCGGCACGAATGGGTCGGCTCGACCTGAGTGATACCACGGCCTCATAGAATACTGGCGCGAAACAACCCAGCGTTGTGTTTCGCCGTGTGAGTGAGGTTACCGGAGGCCCAATCCCTCCCCTTCTTCTATCCCTTCCCGTTCCTTTTATCCGCAACCCCTATCCCCAAAAGGCCGGCAACGCACTCGTAACTCATTTGGTGTTGCGGGTGTCCATGGGCGGCGCCCATTGCTTTACCATCAGGTAATCCGTCTGCTCGCTTGCCGACTTAAACCTTAAAAATAATTTTTTTTAAAGTAAATTTGTTTTTTACGCGCTATTCTCCAGAAGTACCAGTTCGAATTGAACAATTATTTTTGAGTTTAATAGTCCGTTTATCGGGAAGGCCGAAGGCTTGTAGGTTGTAGGTTATAAATCGTTATAATCCATAGGCGCCCAGTAGTGGGTGAAAATGCACGAAAAAAGCTGGTTACTTGAAATTAAATTATATTAAGACAATCATGTATGTAATAATAATATGTCTAATGTGTTTAATATTACGGCTTTTAACGACCAAAGGTTTAGACAGAGCTGCATAAAGTTTAAAAATACGAAAATGGCGCAGTTGCTGTAATGTAGGTAGTAGTAGGTACCTACCAGTTATGTTATCTGTCCTATGGGGTAAGCCTACTGTCACATACCACAAAAAAAACCAACTCTATACCTACCACAACTGAGATTTATTTAATAATAGCAAAAATGTCACGACGCTCATTTAAACTTTATGAACCTCTTAACTTAGCCTTCCGTATTCGGTAGGTAGGTTCTAGTCCATCCATAACTGTTCTGCTACCTATTGGGAAAGCGCGACTTTCGGCGCTGCAGTCGGCGAGCAAGGGTAGCTCGCCACCCGAACACCACAAGACCCGAGTGTAGGTACATCGTGTAGCGTTTCGCGCACGCTTGAAAGAGCTAAACCATCACGTATAAGTTTGGCTAAAAGGGCATCAGCCCAGCTCAGCTGAACACCAGTTCGGCCAGGGTTGCGGGTCAAGACCAATAATGTGCTACGGCCCCTGACAGGAGAAAAAATGGTTTATAGTTAGTAAGAGTCTGCCGCTACCCTTGCTCAAGCTAGCTTTGCGATTTCAGACTTAACTTTAATATTTTCTATCGTAAACATCGTCGGAAAATAATGTCTAGATGGATGTGGGTGTAACGTAGTTACTTAACCAAGTCAAAGCAATACTTAGTATTACGAATAAAATTGTTAATAAAGAATACTTTAAGTAATCATTAAATGTGTCTCTTTACGGCAATGAGACCTTGACATATATCTGAAATTCAGTCCTTTACGCAACGATCCTGATCTTAGGATCATAACAGCTGATACGCTTAATACATTCTCCTGGCTAGACTCAACACTGAGCGACAAGTCATTGAACGAAGGGCGGGGGCGCGCATGCGTAACCGATATCTACCAAATTGGGTTGCTATTCCTAACAAACCGCATTCGTGATGGAAATAATATTACAATATCTTTGTAGTGTTTAAACAAAAACGCGTCAAAGAACAATATTTTAACAGTTTTACGTGTAAAATAAAGTAGAAAATAGTTAGTTATGTTAGGAAAATTAAAGGATAAATCGTTTTTTTCCAGATGTTTTATTGAACATAGTATCAAATACTGTGCAGGACGAGGGGAGTTCTGTCAATCCACCATTGCGTATTACGTTAGTGTGGGAAGGCGTCGTGTTGTGTTTTGACGCCGCTCGCGGTGACAGCGCGGTGAAATGGCGCTCCGGTCCTGGTGATTCAGTCGTGTGGCGCGCGCGTTAGCCGCCACTGTCTTGTTAGTGCTAGTGCCCATGCGAGTGCACGGAGCGCCGCGATGAGGTGGAGCTCGACGCCGTACCGCGCCAAAGAGCGCGCCAATATCAGTTGCTTCATCTTCATTATGTTCTTTGCGGTGTTTGGTTTCATTATATTAACTGAACTGCTGCCGCCAAAAGACCCCGTTACATCCAACAACTCAAGATCCCGTAGTGATCACCTCCAGGTAAGGATTCTTGTGTATTATTTATTTATCTAGTAATAATCTAAAAATTTACTGTAGCTTTATAAAAGATCCCATATTTTTCTGATATTTACAAACAAGAGAAAAAACTATTGTTCAATAATTTTTATTAACCCTCCAATAAAATGAAGAAATTTAGGAAAAAAATACGGTTTAGGTACAAACAAAAATTTTACTTAAAAATATAATACTAAAAATATTTTTCTGGTGATTAAAAATTTTGGTATACATATTAATTTTATTAGAAATGTATAAAATATAAATAAAATATGTAAACAGAAGTGCACGAATAATGATGAATGAATTTGATTCCCCAAATACCTCGTGCTTGGGAGATTCGTGTTAAGAGGTCAGAATGATTAGGGAACATTGATCAGAAGTAAGGTCGACAAACGAACTTGGCGTAATCTTTATCGGGATACTTAACATCTGTTAATTATCTATTTAGAAGCAGTAGCTCTTCGCTTTTTGTTTCGTTTGATAATGTATTCCTTACGTAAGCTTTGTTATGTTGATATTTACGTCGGGACCATTTTATTGTTTTGTTATTTACTGTCTTCATTTGGATCGGGAAGTGAACTTGAGGTTAGCACGACCGCTAGTGTCTGTGTCTAATAAAATAGGGCCATTAGATCAACAGGTTATAATTAGTCACAAACAATATTATTAGTGCAACTGGCCAAGTCATAATAATAATCTTGGATTGTAGCATTAATAGTTCAATATAAGGAAATTATGCGCACTATTGTCCCCTGCGCCAGACTCGCTTTTAATCAAACCAGGAATATTTCTAAACATACCTATAATTTATGCGTGCACACCAGCATAGTACATTATGAAGACAGTCTATATAGTTATCTGTGGCACATCTTTTTGTACTTAGAAATGAAAAAAAAGTCTTTTTCTGTTCGGTAAGGTCCGAATAAAGTAAAAAAAAAATTACAATCACTCGAGCATAGTTAGGACAGGTTGCCTGTACTATTGTAATGGAAATTGTTCTATGTTCACTGGTCGAAACCACTAGCCTAGAAGGGTGCCTGTCAATTGCTGTCCCCTTACTTGAAACTCAAGTCGTTCGCATCAAAACCAGTTTTTGCAACCAGTGACCCTGACTACGGTCAAAAGCTTAGCCTCGTGTTTTTGAGTAATAAACGAAATGTTCTAGATTCCTATATTCGTATCGTAAATAATTGGATTTTAGGAAGTGGTTCGCGATATTTAGTGTCAAAGTTCACTGATAAAATATACGTACATATGTGTGAACTTACATATTTATTTACTACTAGCTCCTCCCGCGTTTTTACTCGCTGCTCAGCTCCATTTGATTGTAGCGTGATGTTTTATAGCCTATAGAACTCGGGTACATTGTAGCTATCAATAAGTGAAACAATTTTGGGAATCCGACTAGTGGTTCCAAAGATTACCCCCTACATACAAACTAACAAAACATACAAAGTCACAAATTTTACCTATTTATAGTTATAGTATAGTAAGTATAGTCATATCATATTATTGTCAGTCTCATCATGATTGGCCTTAGTCCACTGCGGGCCTAGTCTCCTCTGCATAACAGGGGTGCTATCTTTTTTTTGATGGCTTTGGGCGGCAAACGATCAAGCAAACTACCTGATGGTAAGCACTCGTAATACTAGAGGAGATACAAGGCTGCCTTTTGGGGGTTAGGAACTTGGGGAATAGGGTATTTTGGAGATTAAATGTGGATTTCGCTTATGGTATTCTATGAAGTCGTGGTATCCCTTCAGCCGAACTGGCCCAATCGCGCGTTTACAAAAAATGTTACAAGTAAACATATGCAGGCTCGGTAGGTCGCTTTATAGGTGAAGGGCGCTGTTGTCTAATTCGTGTCAAATTCAATGTGTAGTGCAACACCTGCGGCTAGTGTAGGATGGTGAAAATTCTATTCTGAATTCTGTTGTCAACACAAGACCCCAATATGTCTCATTATTATCGTTTTTGTCAACAATTGCCAAAGACCGATTTGCATCCGCAGAAAATTAAAGCGTATCAAACCCGTAGTAGTCATGCTACTTCAAGTTCACTTCCCGATCCAATTGAAGACAGTCAATAACAAAACAATAAAATGGTCCCGACGTAAATATCAACATAACAAAGCTTACGTAAGGAATACATTATCAAACGAAACTAAAAGCGAAGAGCTACTGCTTCTAAATAGTTAATTAAGAGATATTAAGTATCCCGATAAAGATTACGACAATTTCGTTTGTCGACCTTACTTCTGATCAATGTTTCCCAATCATTCTGACCTCTTAACACGAATCTCTCAAGTACGAGGTATTTTGGGAATCAAATCATACAGTTCTCTTTATATATTTTATGAATTTCAAAGACACATGTGCGTTTTGGGGGTAGAGTTTTGGGGAATGGGGTATTTTGTAGATTGAGTATGGATTTCGCTTGCGGTAGGTGGCGATAGCGAAATAGAGAAAAGCGATATCTTACCTTTTGTTTTCTGTGGATGTAAAAAGTTTTTGTCATGTAGAAATGGATGTTACTGGATTGACCTGAAGTCAATTTTGCTGTTAAGTTGGCAACGTTTTTAACTACTTTTTCGCTAACGATTTCTGTGATTTCGTTTACATTAACCAGTCACCGATATTTTAATAGTCAAGTCTTGTAGTCAATGAAAACGCTGTGATGCAAATGTGACGTGTAAGACAGACAAGCAAACAAACACAGTTTCAGTCTTTGTATTACGATTTTTATAACCCTTTCAATCAACGTTTGCTCATCTACCCCTTATAATACAGTTGACAAAGTTTACCTGTGTTGAAGACGCTAAAATATTAGGAATTTACGAATCTTGTTGTTAATCATGTGTTTCTAGTCAACTAAGGTCTAATACTAGCTAAAACTCGCTGATCAAGCGTTAGAATCAGTAGCCATTGTTTGTATAATCATTTTCACTACATACCAAGTATAAAATAAAGTCGCTTCCCGCTGTTTGTCCATTTGTAAGCTCAGTTCTTTAAAACTACGTGACAAGTTTTGAAGCGATTTTCTTAGTACATAGAACGATTCAAGACGAAGTTTAAGGTGTACGAGCAGGTTTAATTTATCAAGGTTTGCTGACGAAGACGCGGGCAGATATAAGTATTCCTATTAAAAAGATATCTTATTTTTAAAATGCAGGCTCAGGAACTGATACTATTGTTATTATTAGCGAGAAGTTTTATAAGAGGCAGAATCATCTATGTACCTAAATCAAAATCAATGAATCGTTGTTACGTAGTTGTCACGGTAAAACTCGAAAACTGAACCAATTTCGTTAATGTTATGGCCTTAAAATACATAGGCATATAAAAACATCAATTATATTTCCATTTAATTTTTATTTTGTAAGTAATTGTAGGAGATTCAATATTTAACTAGGAACAGTGAAATTTTATTTAACAAAATCCATACTCGTTAAATAAAATTTATTATAAAAAGTGCTCCAAGAATGTTTTTATTTATTTATAAAAATACCAACAGTGTCTGTCAAGTTTCGTCGTTAACATTCCAACTAAGAAATACTTACAAATTAATAACAAAACTCGAGTACCATGTAGCGTAACTTCTGTTCCTGTAGAAAGTCAGAAAACTACGGCTAGTTTTCTAACGCGACCCAGGTTAGTTAAGTTAATGTGTTTCCATTCCCGTATACTCCTGTAGAAAGCTTTTACTGGCTCCCAAGTCCCAGATAGTTTCTACTTTTCTACACAGAGGAACGCTAAACAAAAGTTTAAACTGAACAGTGTCTTAGTGTCTACTCCTTAGAATGCAGAATTCATTAGCACTTTTTTACATTTCTGTAACAACTGTTTAATTTGTCTAAAAGCGTCTTTTTTAGGAAATTTTACATTACTATATTTGTATTTATTTTTGTTCGCGTGTCGTTAAATCTAGTTCGCGTATGCATTTTTTTCCATCTTACCTGTAACTCCTGTGAGCTAAACAAATGTTTTTTACCACTGGTAAACCTCTGTCACAGTAAACTAATCTACTAATTTGATCACAAATAAACTGTGGCTACGTTGAGCGTCCTTAAAAAGACCTAAAATTAGAATTAACCATCGACCTTTGATGATTTGCAAGAATCAGGCGAAAAGTGACAAATTGTCCCCTCTTGTATCTACACAACGATGAATCCAATTCAATCATTAGATAAATTGTGTCATTGTATTTACCGTTCGTATGAATAGATCCAAATTGACGACGCGACGTCGTAAGTTCATGTCCATTTACTCAAATGGCGACATCTAAAGTTAGTGATTCATTAATCGTACCCAGATGAATAATTTAATGGCAATATTAAGGCTTAAGGACAGTAAACGTTCTCAGAGAGCATCGTTTATTATCAAAATGCTACCAGATACTACATTAAGCATTAAGTATTTGCGAATGACTGGAATTAACCTAAACATTGCCTTATTCTTATCTCAAGGGAATAGAAGCTTTTCGATGGAATCGTCTAAGTAAATCATAATACATTAATACTACGGTCAGTGTATTCGAGTGGGTTGAGTAAGTAGGCTTCGGTTAATCAGCTTGGATTGAGCGATTTCACGTTACAATCATATCTTCACTTGGGTGTTGTAAAATATAGTGTTTCTTGCGTTCTCGTTTTTCTTTGTACGAATCTACATTTTGTAGCGAGGTTTACTTACGGACAGAGTCAAGGACTATGCCGCTTTATTTTGGATTATTTGAAATTAATTTTAAGATTTTTTTTTTAGTTTTGATAGATTTTTAGACAGTAAGTATGATATTTATAACCTTTTCTGATAAAACTTATTGAACGGACTTAAATAACATTTGACATAGAGTCCAGAGTCCAGAGTCCTTTGACATACCCAAACCTTTTAAACTGCCATCATCACGCCATCTGGCGAGTGTGGGGGTGGTTTTGGCAAATCCTCTTACATGGAGGAGTCAATGAAGATAATTCTGTAGAACTGGGT